TAGAGCGCTGTTAAAATTGGTTAGTGAGTCATTAGTTTTATAAGTCCCCAAAAATTAATGGCCCGGTGGATAAAAGCGTTGGTTGAATCCAATGACTTCACCCAATGTCATTGCAGTTGTGAGTTCAATACCTAAAACTTGGAGAGATGAGTTAAATGGAGAAAACTGATGCTGAGATATCCGGAAGAGGCATGGCACGTGGAAATAGAACAATCTAACCCGGTGGTTGAAATAAAGGGTTCAATTCAAACTTCCAGTCACCCGAAGAAGGCTGGAGCGCACAACGACCGAAACGTCGTGAATATAGCAACGATGATAAGGACAAATGTCCGAACAATGTAAATAATTTAAATAATTACAATACCTCATCTCAGAACTATAGACAGATACGATTCTTTGAGTTTTTATTGTCATGATACATGAACGATCATCGCAGTTAAGCAACGTCTGGTCAGTATCGAGATGGGTGACTTCTTGGCAATACCAGATGCGGTAAGCTTGGATGTGCAGGTGCTATAATGTATACAGGATCGAAAAGCCGAGTTCTAATCGCTGTTGGTATTTTTATATGCACTCACGGGGAAATACCTTTGGGAAAGGCATTAGTCCACCTATTCTTTCCTCCAGTTATGGGTTAATTAGTAAGACGTTTATCACTTGTATATTAATGAAAGACATTTGTATATCACTTGTCTATTAATGAAAAACCTTGGCATAAAAATGTATATTATATACCTGCTTACGACCATATCACGTTGAAACATCGGTTCTCGTCCGAAGTTAAGCAACATTGAGCCTGGCCGGTAACGAGATTGGTGACCGTTCGAGAATACTAGGTGCTTTGAATATGCGGCTAGTTTAATGGAATGAGAAATCTGAGAACTGAGTTCGAATTTAATCAGCTTCCTTATATTCACTTACTTGAGAAAGATATGAATCCACCTCTTCTCCCTCCAGCTATGGGTTAATTAGTAAGACTTGTATCACTAAATCGTTATTATCTCCAAAACAAAAAATAAAATTGCATACAGAGTATATAAATTTCAGAATTAAATGAACAATAAAGGTGTTGATATGCCGTTAAACCAAAGCAACCAATCAGAGAGTCTGGTCATTTTGTTTTATTCAGCTTGAAGAAACATATTAATTGGTTTTCGAAAGCGAAAGCTTTATATGCATGAGAGCAAATATTCGTTTCATTAAAACAATTCAAAACTACCTTTAGAACATTTAATTTAAAGAAAAAATAATAATGCTCTTGCAAAAGTGAATTGAAAATCGAATATCTGTGTTCCATGCCTCTGGTTGTCATTTAGCTAAGAATTGAAACTCAAGTTCATTCCGGGCCGCAACTGAAACTCATATATACGACCAACTGCTAAAGATGGAAAATTGATCGGCTCATTCTATCTCTCCTGGAAGTATCGTCGTTCTGGGTATGACGATAAACTACATCCGGCAGCAAGGCCTCTGATCATGAGGTTTTGAGGTGCGTGAAGCCACCTCTTAATTGCTGCTGTTCCCAGCTCCGCCCTGACCTGAGGTGGTAACACCTGTTACCGTCCCAGCTAATGGCAAATAGTTAACTCCCAAACTGGGAATATCCCAAATATACCAGCAATACATTTTCGTAGTAAGAAAATTTTTTACCAGCAATGCATTATTGGAAAAGGAAGAGAAAAACTACTAGCAATGCATTTTAGAAAAAATGAATTACCAAAGCCACCAAGAAAATGAAATTTCGACATTAAATGACCCATGAGGAGTTGATATGCCGTTAAAGAAACCAACCAAACAAACAAACATCTTGTTTGTTACATCTAAAGCGTGCGGGTATGACAATAAACCTCCAACAGCAAGGTTTCTGAACGGGAAGTTTCTAGGAGCGTGCAATCGCCTCTTAACTGCTGTTCCTAGGTCCACTGTGACCCTGGTTGATATGTTAGACCCCAGCTATGGGCAAATATTGAACCCCCCCCAAACAAACACTATGAAAGTATAAAAATACATTTTTATACTAAAAATACAAGCAATACATTTTCATTGTAAAAAAAGTTTACCAGCAATGCATTTTTGACTAAAAAATATTACGAGCAATACATTTTTTAAAAAGAAATTACTAATGCTCCGGAGAAAATTAAATTTCGGCATTAAATGACCCATAAGGTGTTAATGTACCGGTAAACAAACAACCAAACGTCTAATGCCATGCTTTTATCTTTCTGATAGTCAGATGAGACCAAAAATGGAATATTACTGCCACATCTGAACTGGAGATTCTCAGTTGCTGCTTCCCTGAACAATACATTCTTAACTTCTTCAAGTTAGCATTTAAATCGTTATCTATCCTCCCTATCCTCATAATCGTCATCTCCTACCATTCCTCTTTTATTCATATGACAGACCATATTCATCATAGCATTTCTAACAATAGCCCTCTACTTTAGTATAAAATAGAAAACTACCTTGTGTAAAAATAAAGATATGAATATATAATTCGCGATCTCTAAACAATGATAGCCTTATTCCAAAACTTTGCATCGCCCGTTTAGTAATAATAACAAAGATGTTGAAAACTTAATATGTAAGAACAGTGAAAAAACTAATTAGATGAGCTCTTTTATTTTTCTCTGATAAAAATGACGACCAAACAACACTCATTATTCAATAGCTGGATATAGCATACTGGAAATATTCGCAGACTGCGTTCGATATTCTAATCGATTGAACCCAGCCTGGCTTTAATGATACGAAATGCTACCTCCCACTTTCAAACCCAATCTTCAAAAAACTTAGTCTCTTAGACTTTTTTTCAATAGTTGGTTGAACCAAATAAATACTAATGCTATAGTCCAATAGAAAAAAAAAAGCAACCAAAAAAACCAAACCCGACTTGCAGATATTCGAATAATTTCACAGTCAACTCCGGCCCAAACTTCTACTTATTGATAGCGGAATATAATAGTCAAATGTCAGCATTTCGAAGAACTTCTTTAAAGTGGGTTATCACGAATATATTAGTTGCTGATCAGACACTTTAACAGAGAGATGAGCTATTTGGCAACCGGCCGACACAAGTCGTTGTCTAATTGTGAGAAAGAGGCATTAGAATTTTACTACAGAGGCCTTTAAACGCTATTATGCAGATCAGATTAATAACTACGTGTTAAAAATCTTCAATGGAACCATTAAAGCTCAGAATGGATTTCATTAATCATGCCTTATACCTCTTAAAAAAGGATTTCCTTATCACTTGTGTAATGCAGAAACCTTTAATTATTAACCCCTAACGTTTTTTCCCAACATTTATCAGATTTCCGAGCCATTTGCTGAAATTCTATTAACGAAAAGACAACATGAAATATATTTATTCCTTTTAGAATAAACATTATAAAATAACTAGTCAAAAACTGACGACACTAAGCAATTTTGCAATATATGTCTGCCATTCGTCTTTGTTTTGAATGTGGCTGACACATAAGATCTGATGCTCCTGTTATGTATTTAGAGATTCTTGATAAAATCCAAAGAAGAATCTGCTATATTATCGGTCCTCACCTGACATCTTGCCTTCAGTCACTTTCCCACCTCAGTAACGTAGCTTTCATCTACTTTTTTCTATAAATACTTTCATGGTAATTGTTCTCATAAACAGTATTTACATTAGTCGGACTGTTCTAGTTCCACGTGCCATGTTTGATGGATGTCAGTTATCTCCTGCTAATTTTCCCTCTGAAAGTTCTCCACTGCCTTAATAAGGAATTGAACTCACCTTCTTTGGGTCTGTCACTGGATCTAACCAACGCCTTTATCCACTGTGCCATGTGTCCTTGAGTCTACCCCAGTGGTCGAAATAAAGGGTTCAGTTCGAAATTCCAACCACCTGAAGAAGGCCGGAACGTACAACGGCCGAAACGTTGTGACAAATATGGCGACAAAGATGAGGACAATAGTCCGACTAATGTAAATACTGTACATAATACCACATCTCAGAAATATAGACAGACTCTGTTCTCATAAACTTCCGTTTTTGTTTTTTTTGGTTAGGCGTCAGGATATTGGGAACATAAGCAACCCCGCTCAATTAGGGTAGTTTAGGTTTGTCCTTAGTGCCTTCCATCAAATTAACTTAGCTAGGGAATGTATGCCCATTAGCCTCTTTTATTTCTGTATGATGATAAATTACATCAGGCAACAAAGCCTCTGATCGGGAGATTGTAGGTTTTGAGGAGCGTGGAACCACCTCTTAGTTTCTGTTGTTCCCAGGTTCACCCTGACCTGGGGTGGTAGCATCTGTTAAGATCCCAAATACAGGCAAATAGTGAACCTCCAAACAAACAAACAAAACAAAACAAAAAACTATATAAGTATAAAAATACCTATTTATAGTAAAATGACCATCAATGCATTTTATAGAAAAATGACCAACAATATCTGTAGTTGAAAACATACAATTGCTCTAAAAATATATTTAGTTGAAGCCATAAAATTGTGTTCAAAATATTTAAATTCCGTCATTAAATAACCCATAGATGTTGATATGCCGCTAAACAAAATCAACCAGACAAATCGTGTTGCATTTGTGATTTTCACTGAATACACCTTCTCCTTTAACTTTCTCCAGAAAAAAAAGTCAGTTATTTTTTCTTTCGACAAAACCATCTTTAATCTGTGGAGGTAAAAAAATATAGTTAATGAGATTTCCTATGTGTCTAAACTTTAAGGAAACCCTGTACTTTTGTGCTAAAAAATATAGAATAAATACGAAATCCTCAGCTTGATCATCGTTTGTTATATTGTATAGAAACATAAAATTAACTTTGATGGGAGGGAGATATTCTAAGGATTTATTAAAAAATTATACTTTTTAAAAACAGAGTTTAAATCCATTTTTTATCTCAAGGTTGCGTTTTTTTTTGTTTTTTTTCGTAGTGGGTCTTCCCGAAATAAAATCAGGAGACATTAAGACGAATATAAAAAGGGGAAAAAAAAAACAAACTTTACACTAGTTCACCTGATGTCATTTGCCTCAAAGCCACATTTATGGAAGACAGGGAGAGACGGTGCTTAAAGGAGACTGGGTGGGACGGGAAGATCGATTCTACCAGATGTCGGTAGTCTTTTCGAGTGAATTTTAGTCTCGCTCTAGATAACGCGATCAACAGATGCGTGAAGAAGCGCCTCACTCCCGTAAGGAAAAGAGGAAGGAGTAAAGACTGGATAAAAAAAATAACGGTAAGTTGACATAGGGAGGGACAAAAAAAAGAAAGAAAGAAAGAAAGAAAGAAAGAAAAACAGATAAAAAAGAAGTGAAGGTGAAGATATCGAAAGAAGGAAAAATTATAAGCAAAATTACAATAAGACAATGAGACAGAAAAATAACAAAATGAAAGGCTGAAAACGACTAACAATTTAAACAAATGAAGAGAAAGAAAAAGAAAATAACAAAATGGTTTACAAGAATTTACAAGAGAAAGGAAAGGAAAAAGAAAGGTGGAAATAAAAGAAAAAAGAGGGGAAGGGGAGAAAAAAAAGAAAAGAGGCGGGAAAAAATTTAAAAATGAGAAATCCTTTTTCCTTAAGGGCAGGATGTGTCAAATGATATTCAACAAGTCAACAGAGCCAAGCCGTCGGGTAACGGGTAAAGCGTTAGTACAGCAAACCATTCTGTTTAGCGTGCTCGATCCTCATTGGTTGCATCACATTAAGCTACAACAATAACAACAACAATAACTGCAGTGCCTTTTACAACAACAAATAGAATGTCGATTCACATTCTTAGTTGAAGATTTGCATTTATTAAAATTATATATATATATATATATATATATATATATATATATATATATATATATATAGTTAAATTCCCAGATGAATTCTGTGGACAAGACAGATTGGTATCAAATGTCGACATGGAAAAAAAAATAATAATAATAATCCCTTACTATAAAGGTAATTTACATTAACCAGAAAAAAGGCTTAGACACAAGTGTCTATCTTTTTAATTTTGAATTTTAATGTAACAGCAAAAACATTTCGATTTCATTTTTGCCTTGAAAAAGTCGGAAGACGAAACGCGTCGGCAAAATGTATGATTTTTTCCAATTGTCATATATATATATATATATATATATATATATATATATATATATATATATATATTACCTCCAGGATTTTTAGTGCCTGTTCACAGATTATACTTCATCTAACTATTTCCTAATTTTCAAAACTCAGTTCTCGGTATGACGAGAAGCTAATTCCGGCTACAAGAGATTGGAGCATAGAACCACCTCTTCATAGCTGTTGTTCCCAGGTCCACCCTAATCCGGGATGGTAGCACCTATTAGGGTCCCATCTATAGTGTGCCCTCAAGAAAAATACTATGAAAGTGTAAAAATATATTTTTATAGTAAAAATATCATTTTCATATATAAAAAGTTACCAGCAATACGAGTGTATATTAAAAATTACCAACAGTACATATTTATAGTAAAATTGCCAACAATACTGATTAAAATTGCCAACAATACTTATTAAAATTGCCAACAATAACTATTTTGAGTTAAAAAAAATACCTATTTAAAATAAAAATTATCCACAATACCTATTTATAGTAAATTTACCAGCAATATCTATTTATAGTAATAATTACCAGCAGTATATATTCATATTAAAAATACCAATAATATCATTTTTTAATAAAATTACCAACAATACAATTTTAAAGAAAAATGACCAACATACCAATACATTTTATTTGTAGTTGAGGGCATACAATTGCGTTTAAAATATATTTAGTTTAATCCATAAAATTGTGTTAAAAGTGTTTTTTTTAAGATTTTAGCATTAAATAACTCACAGAGGTGTTGGTATGCTGCTAAACAACTTCAACCAAAATTTTCAAAATTAAAAGTTTTTTTTTCTCTCTAGCTTTATTTTTTTTACATCAGTTTAAAGAATCACTACAGGATAGCCATTTTGGGAGTCTTCCTTTACTGCATACCTATATCGACTAAACTAAGAGAAATATTTTTTTAGCTTTTCAGAATAATAATTCAAAGATATTTATAGCAGAGTCTACTGTGCAGTATTAACGATCAGTATTAAAATCGAGAAAATATAAATACCTACATATGGATATTATTTAGTACTTTTTTTTATTTTATTTTTCTTAATTTAAGAGGTTTTTTTTTATATCGCCATTCATTCGGTGTCCATATTGAACAATTATGAAAATTATACAAGAGCTGCAGTTAGCAATATGCTTCGGTCCAAAGATTTCTTGTTGATTGGTGCATTAATGAAATGCATTTATATTTAGTACCTTTGTGTTCAACATAATCCAGAGAAGGTTGGAAAATTAATTATGATATATGAATAACAATGGATTATACATAATCCTAGTCTGCATCGGAAAGACATTTAGCTTATGATTGTTTATAACAGAAGTGAAATGATGCTGAGCGATACCAACAAAAGCTCTCGGACTAAAATAGAAATCAGAAATAGTTTTTTCTAGATCCTGATGCATGGTGATATCTATCAATTTTATTTTGACCCTGATGCCTTTGGATTGCGTTGATTTTATGTAGAGTAAGAGGAATGGAAAGAGTGAAGAAAATGTCGAGAGATAGATAGAGAGAGAGAGAGAGAGAGAGAGAGAGAGAGAGAGAGAGAGAGAGATAGAGGGAAAGAGAGAAAGAAATTAAGAATCTTTAAAGAGAGAGAGAATGGAAAGAAAGAAAGAAAAATATTGAAGAGCAAAGAGCGAATACAGAAAACATTGACTATGAGATGAAAAACAAATAATCTCCAATAATGACGCGAATTCGCTCAAATTGATTAAAAATAAAAAAAGAAAACGAAATGCTGTCGGGTATAAAGAAAGGATTTGAATGGACAGGCAGATAATTTCTTCAACATTTTTTCATTACAAGCGTAGGCGAAATATTCCATTTGAAAAACATAGTTCAGTTCCCTCACACGCTATTCAAAAGTAGACCTTAACTATGAATCTTTTAGCAAGATGAGAAAACGTGTAGCAAGTAATTACTATTACTTTATAGAGGTTTAATATTTGAACGTTCTTAAACTCAAAATAATCATTGCCGCTTCTTTGATTGTAGTAAATTATAACTTTAATTCTGAAAGGACACTATATTTCCAGCAATGTTGAATAATACTTTAACCTTCTGTTTACCTCGGAGTTCTTGACAAGATCCAGAGGCGGATATGTAATATAATTGGCCCTGATCTGGCATCTCGTCTACAGTCACTCTCTCACAGACACGCCGTCGCCTCTCTCTGTCTTTTTTACAAATACTTTCATGGTAATTGCTCCGATGAGCTGCTTCCACTGGTTCCCAGACTTCATGAATTCAAGCGCCCTAAGAGGCTGGCATCCCACTCTCACTCTTTCACTGTAGAAACTTTTAAATGTAGCTGTCTCTTCTACTCCAATAGCTTCATACCTCGCACCTCTCGCCTGTGGAACACCCTTCCCTATTACTGTTTCCCTGAGAGCTATAATCTCCAATTTTTCAAATGTAATGTCAATCGACACCTCCAGTTACCTTGATCTATCCACTACCCTCATCCTTTCCTATCACTCCTATCTGATCTTGCTCCAAATCTTCTGCAACCCGCTGCATCCTCGTGGCTTCACGCCTTGCTCGGGGCGTAATGCTTAAAAAAACAAAAAAAAACTGCTTACAAAGAATGCTACGACAGGAAAAAATGCGAGTCAAAGCATACTGTTGTATTTCAAGCCCTCCACATCAGCCACGGCATACAGCGAAAATCAACCTTCAACAGTGAGGCAAGTGGAATTCTTACATCTTCTTCTTTCATGCGCCGTGTCCCTTCAGGACGTAGGCGATCATGGTTCTCCACTTCCCTCTATCACTTGTAGCTCTCAATATGTTCTCTCAAAACCGTGTTTCGTCATCCACTTGCTTAAGCCCGCTAGGTATATCACGCATTTATTTTCCTCTATCCGCCCTGTGTGTATCAAGTTTTCCAAGCCCTCCTTTCTCATTACATATCCCAGAAATTTCAGCTGCCTCTTCCTGGTGTTAAGTATAAGCCTCCTCCTTGTTTGCGTCATCTCCAAAACTTTATCGTTGCTCACATGTTCGATCCATGGTATCCTTAGCATCCTTCTGTAGAACCACACTTGCGTTGCCTCGAGTCGCTTCTTCATCTTTGAGGAGACCGTCCAACATTCGCTGACGTAAAGGAGGACAGATATCATGTAGTAGTTCAGTTCTCTTTTCTTTGTTACCAACGAAATCCTCGTCACGTAATACTCTGCGATGCTGAAAAAAAAATAGTCGAATCTCTGTACAGCTCAAATAATTACCTAACTCCTCCTACCCTTCTAAACCTTTTCAGTCCGAACATGTAGTCCTGCTGCCATATATGGGCAGGAACTGCCCAGTCCTTACTTTCCAGTCTCGATAGAGTCCAGAAGCTTCTCCGCGTCCTTGTGGGTGATGAATTATTTCCCACCCTACAACACCTTTCCTACAGATGAAAAGTCGCAAGCGTCTCACTCGTCTATCTCTGTTTCCATGGAAAGTGTTCAGACGTAGTACATTCCTTAGTTCTACCAGTTCTAACTTTTACGGTTAAGATTCGCCGTGCCACGCCCATTGTAGTGAAACAGCCTCATTCCTTCCGTATTTCAATGGTGAGATGTAAGTTGCGCTTCAGCAGCTTCTTTCCACGGACCGCTGCTTTAGGGAAGCGACCCCGAAGAGATATGCTTTCCCCGATCACTATAATCTTAAACAAGTCTGAGGTCAACCGTTATCTTCCCAACAATAAACTCTACCTTTTACTCTGCAACCCTTTACAACCAGTGGTTCTTGGGCCTTGTACAAGTGAATACATTGTAAATAAAAAAAAAAAAAAAAAAAAACGGAAAAGAGAAGTAGGTCATTTTGGAGGCTTGGGAACACTCAAAATAATTTACAATATAAATTAATGACATTTACCTATTCTCTTGTATCGAATTCAAATAAACCAGTGGGGTCTGTTATTCTATTTTGGAAAAAATTTCAGCCGGGACAGCATTATTACAGCCGCCATTTTCATTAGATATTCAGAAACTTTACAAGAAGCTATCTCCGAGTCACAGTTAGCATCTTGTACTACGCATTTTTTTTTTATGTCAGATTGAAAGCTGACTTATTAATGCTTTCGATGCATCTGATAGCATAATGAGAATGCTAAAACTTGGCGCATGTCACGTAACATTATGTTAGGTAGCTTATGGATCGATGTGTTTTCAAATGCTCGGTGTATCTTGTATACACAGCGTTCAGAAATTATTTAAAAAAAATGTTTGATAGCGAATCCAGATTTGTATATAAATATTTCCTGCACAGTTGTAAATTTTAATGTTATTCTCCATTTTAAGAGACGTGTTTTAGCTTTGCTCATATCTAGGGATTATAAAACATTTTTCTTCTATATACCGTGTCCCTTAAGGGCATCGGTGATCATGGCTCTTCACAACTTCCTGCCTTTTGCAGTTCTTAGTTTTGTCTTTTTTACAGTCTCTCTTTATTCCAGTTTGCCAACCGTTTACACAAGCTCGATAGGGAAGTTATTCACTGCTTTCATTTGTACCTGCTGCCTTCAATATATATTGTGGGTGTCAAATTTTCCAAGCTCTTTTTTCTCATTGTTGTGTAGGAAACTACCACCCCTCTTGAAGATGAACTTGTCTACAAACAAAGACTTTAAATAATGGCATGTCAAAAGACAAGAGACGGAGAAGTTCTTGGCTGAGCTAGTTATAGACTACTCAGGCGATTTCTGTACCTACTTACCAACCTAATAAACCCCTTTTTAGTGTTACGTGTTATTTGGCGTTTGTCTTTACTAACCCCAAATCAACATCATAACACTCATAATGTTTCCTGGAAATTCCAATCGTTGCGTTCTGATACTAAGTATAAGTGTGTGTGTTTTTTGTTTCCACCGTCCTTAGAACTTTCTCCTCACTTATCATATGATCAGTCCAAAGAATTCTCAGTATCTTTCTGTAGAATCATATTTCTGATGGTTTTGTCTGAACTCTGACATTTTATTTATTATTTGTTTTTATTTATTATTTATTTTTATTTATTTTTTTTGTAAGGGGCTACTGGCTAAGATAAAAAAAAATTGTGTAGGAAATTCACACAGCATATGAAAAATTTGCATTAGGTTAAATTGCATCTCTCCCCTCCGCTTTTATTTCTTGGGAATGATACAGATGGTTACAAAGTGTAAGTCTTTAATTTAATGTCTGGCTGCTGTCGGCAAATAATTACCGACCATGATCCATTTCTTTCTAAGAAACTTTTAATTTTTTTTTTCTTCGCTTACTTTAAATTGAACGTAGGTCATATTCGATTGTTTGATCAGGGTAAAAGCAACCCAAGCTTTATAACATTGTTTTTTTTTTTGGAAAAAAGAGGATGTATTTTGCTTTTGAAACCAAATTAATTGTTCACTCACTAGTAATTTACAATCGCCTGAGGAGATGCATTGGTATGTGTCGAAACACGACTGCAATTTTGTAGCGAATTTTACATGTTTTAATACCCTAAAATAAATATCAATGTGTGTGTGTATGTGTGTGTGAATGTGTGTTAATGTGTGCACTTGAATGATACATCAGCTATTATATGTGTGAGTAATATGGAAAATTCCGTTCAGCCAACACGCATCCAGAGTGACTATTTTGGATTAGAGTAGAAGACTTTAATCTGGAGGGATCTGCTGTAAATTTGATCGTTCCGCCGAACGAAGAATATGATACAATTATCCAAGCCATTCCATTTTGGTTCTTCTGGAAATAGATATTGCTGTATATGGATGGTAAACCACGCACTCACATACACACACGCACACACTGTACACAAAATTTAAATGGACTACTCATTTATTCATTACTCACCATTATACTACAACAGTAAACAAAGAAGCTGTCACTATTTCCATTGAGGAAATGATTTTTCGGCTCTTTCATAACATTTTGCTATTAAGTTTAATCTTCCTTTCGTAACACCTCCTCTTCCAATTTCAATTGTAATGTTCTACCTTGAGTGGCTCTCGAGCCAAGTATTGTGTGAAATTATGTGAAATTTAATATTAACTTTAATACTACACTCTGTGAACTGTTGACATTCTTAACAGTACAAATCGTGCTGTTGCTTCTATCGTATATGCAAATTAAGATCCTCTGCAAAACTAAACAATCTTTTTTATACCTAAATATATAAACTATAAGACTTTGTGTTTAAAAATTCATCTCCCTTTTTAGCAATAACAATTTATATAAGAATTTTTTATATGAGAAATTATCATTATTATATGCCATGGGTGGCCAAACTTGCTCACTGTAAATACGATAAAGTTCTGAAGTTTGAGAACCGCAAGACAAGAACAAAATTTACACATACGCTTTTGTCACATACACATTAACATTAAACTTACGTTTTAATCCAATGGGGGTCTAAATTCACTCCTAAATAATACAGCTTGATTTTTTTCTTTATTTCTTTTATATTAACAGTGACTAGCATCATGGCCCGGTGTTGCTCGTGCTTGATTCAAAATTCGTACGACTCATACAGCAATCGCTATCACTTGACTTCAAATATTTTTGCCCTTCCTTGCCTTTAAAGAAGTGCCCTTTGCCGTGCTGATGTTGCTACATGCCTTACTTCTTGCCTATCTCACACTGCGAATTTTTTCTAAGCTCTATACTAAATATTAAATCTGTTACAAAAATGAACTAAACAAAATGAACACAAAACGATCAGCTTTAAAAAAAAGAATCATAATTGGAAAAAAACGAATGAAAAAAGAAAGTTAACAACAAATACTTTTTCACACACAACCCAGTTATGCGGAATCAGAATCAACGTTGAGTTTAAGCAAGCGAATGAGCCAACTGGAGTAAAGTGCCATGCAGTTTTAAATTTTTCCCACTTGTGACGAATGCAGCTATCGATTTTTTTTTTTTGCATGCTAGCATGCTCGTTAACATTCGTGTCAGTGAGCTGTTGGCTCTCACACTGGCCAATAGAATCTTCCTGCCTATTCGTGGCAGCCAGCTATAGGCTCTCACTCTGACCAGGAGAAAATGGCCGCAAACTATATGAAAACTGCCGTAGAAGCATGAAAAAATCGATTATTTCCACTATCGATGGGAGTTTGGAAATGCAATGTCGGTCTTGGTCTTCCCGCTAACTCGGAGCACGTGCATGTAAATTTTGGTGCTGATCCGTCGAAAATTGCGACCGTTCATTCGTTACACGCACACACACACACACACACACACATCCTGCCTTTTATAGATAGCGATAAAAACATATTACAACGAGCTCATTGACCTTTAATATGAGATTAAAGGTCAAATGCCGTATGTAGCTCACGAGACGCGGCTTGGCCACCCTTGTTATATGCTATTCTATTCGGATTAGTATCTTCATCTTGGTTGTTATACTAACATCGTTTTGATCATTGTACTCTTCGGCCTTCTTTAGATGTCTCTCTTCATACTTCGGAACCTGGGATTTTTGAATCGAACTATCCATCGGGGCCAAAGATTATTGAGCCCATAGCAGGGGGAGGAGACATTGATTCATAACTTTCCCACGAGTAACGAACTCGAACTGAATTCGAACTCGGCTCTCCGATTTTCAATTCCGAGCTGTTATGCATTACACCACCCGTATATTCTCTTGATATACCTCCAAACTGTTTACGTTCGGGCAGTTCATTTGAAATGAAATTGGCTCTAACAGCTGATCTAATGGATCTAATTACCAAATGCAACGTATTTTTATGACGTTTCTTTTTATCGGTTAGGCAGCTGTTCTCAGCTGCCTAACCTATAAGAAGGACGTCATTTTATAACATAGCGATAAAAAGGACATCATCTTATAACATAGCGATAAAAAGGACATCATCTTATAACATAGCGATAAAAGGACGTCATCTTATAACATAGAGAAAAAAGACATCATCTTATAAAATAGCAATAAAAAGGGCATCATCTTATAATGTAGCGATAAAGAGGACATCATCCTATAACAGAGCGATAAAAAGGACATCACCTTATAACGTAACGATAAGAAAGACGTCATCTTATAACATAGCGATAAAAAGGACATGATCTTTAACATAACGATAAAAAAGGGCGTCATCTTATAACAGTGATAAAAAGGACATTATCTTATAACAGCGATAAAAATAACGTCATCTTATAACTGAGATAAAAAAGACGTTATCTTATAACATTGCGATAAAAAGGACGTCATCTTATAACAGAGATAAAAAAAGTCGTCATTTTATAACATGGCGATAAAAAGGACATCATCTTATAACATAGCGATGAAAAGACATCATCTAATAATATAGCGATAAAAGGGACATCACCTTATAACATAGTGATAAAAAGGACGTCATCTTATAACATAGCGATAAAAAGAACATCTGATAGAGATAAAAAAGACGTCATTTTATAGCATAGCGATAAGAAGGACGTTATGTTATAACATAGCAAATAACTCAATTCCAATCGCTTTCAATCCATCTCAACAATTTTGCGGAAACGTGATTCACATATGCGTCTTGTTGCCTGTTATATATTGCTACTTTTTGCCCATGTGCGTCTAGTCTACAAGTTTTATTTTTATCAATGCAAATGGGAGGGACATAGATGTTTGTTTGTTTTTTTTTGGGGGGGTTGCCTTTATCTTTAGAGCTGTTGTATTTAAAAACGACCACAGGGCACAAATGTGTAATATAAGGAAACAAAATATCTATTAGTAATTGTAACAGAAATAGAGATGCTTTTATGTATAGGTACAGATATAGGTTCAATGTAGCAGCAAACTTGTTTCGCTAGATTTGTTACAACTGAATAGTGAGTTCAATCCTTATTGAGTGCCCTATGCTTTTGGCCTTGTGCCATATCTAAGGTATGTTTAGAAAATCCCGATAGTCAATGTAGTAGTGGACGAATTAAAGGTATATCTATTTGCCAAAATAAAGTATAGTCTTATATAATGGTGGTTGTAATATTAGCACTTTCCGTATAAGGAAACTTTCGACTCTCATTGACCGATCCGCCAGTACTACTGTCTGGTGAAATTTATAAAATCTTTCTGTTAAGACAATTTTTCAGGAAAGTATGTTTCTCAAGTTCAGTTGATATCATCGCTCTTCCCAGTATTGATGAGGATGTTCCTTCCTAAACTTTTATTTGAATTGATGTATTTTTTAAAGACATTTTTTATGTTTAACGTTGTTATTTATAGATACAAGTATTTAAGCAAATGCTCTGTTTATGATAAATAGTATTAAATAACATTTACCGGCCTGAATGTCCGAGAAATTTTCATAGAAAATATTCGTTCTTTGACAGGATTCGAACCTGCATCCTATACGGAACCGTCATTTATGCTAACGTGCCTTACCTCTGGGCCACAAAGAACCTTTCGGTAGACAAGGTCGAATTTACTGCTTATAAACTTCAATCTTCCATGAATCTCGTACATTTATAACTGCTCTGGCGTATCAAATGTAAACAAATGACGTCATATATTAAGAAATGGACAAGGTCCGACAATTTATTTATTAAAGACATTTTTTATGTTGAATTGATGTGTAAAGTTAACATATTGATTTTGCTATTATTTTCTCTTCAAGTTACATGTGCTATCCATTTAAGTTGTTGCCGCTGTTGGTAGTCTTCAGGTGATGTGGTTTCAGTTATTTCTTTTTGTGATTTTGCCGCGCAAGTTTATTATGTTCAAAGAAGGATTAACTTTTTCAAAATTCTTTTATTGTCTGTGAGTTGCCATGATTTCTCTGGAAAGATAGCTGATGGATTCTTGTTGCATTCCCTCACGTCTTGGAATTCAGAATAGTTCTACTTATAGACTAACTGCCAATCAAGGCAAGAACTTGAACTCGGTTTGCCGATTTCACTTTCCACTCCAATATCGTCGCAATAATCGTAAATCTCCTTTATGGTTATGTACTGGTCACTAATCGCGTAATAACTCATTAGGGCACAACACCTACTGCGGGAATAGCTACTGTGTTGTGTCTAGGATAAACTAACCCAACTGAGCTCATCCGTCTTTAGGATCATTCTAAATTCAAAGATGTAAAGAAAATAATTTCTGATCATTATGTACGTATGTCTATCATTCTGGTTATTATGTATATATGTATGTATGTATGCATGTATGCATGTTTCTATTTATCTATCTCATTCTGTTCATTATCTATCTATTTATGATAAAATGACTGACATTAAATATCTGAACAGACTATGTATGAGGAAATGTCTGAAAACTATTTCGATATTTAATTTATCCTTTTATCGTAAAAAATAAATAACCGTGTATAAATTACTGAAATTTGTATTAACATATTTCTATTTGATTTTCCGATGTACAAGGCTGAGATATCTTTTCTTTTATTTCCATTTTCTCTAAAACTTCGTCGTTGTTCACGTTTTCGGCCCATGATATCCTCAGTATCCTTCTGTAGAATCGTATTTCTGTTGCTTCAAGTCTCTTCTTCATCTTTGATGGGATTTTCCAGCAACCACAGATATCATCTAACAGTTTATTATTCTTTTCTTTGTTTCTAACAAAGTTATTCTATAATCTATAAAAGATGTCTTCAGCAACTAAGCATGCAACCATTTAGATCCATTGGGTGTGTTGGTAACTTCATTTCTCACAATTCCTGTTGCGTTCGGAATCCAGTGTAAAAATATTACTAGTCTGCAAATAGATGCATTCAAATTACTATCAAAATCGTATATATATATATATATATATATATATATATATATATATATATATATATATATATATATATATAGATGATGATATTGTTCACTGAAAATGGCAAAATATATTTGGCTCTGGACTAATCCGTAACGTTGATCGATAAAGTTGTGTAGACAAGATCGATAATGGAAAGAGAAACACACAAACGCTGTGAGTTTTTGCCAACTATTAGTTCAGAAATCTTCCTCAAAAGTGATAAAGAGAGAGGGAGAGACTGTGTGTGTTTGCGTGTGTGATAGATAGATAGATAGATAGATAGATAGATAGATAGATAGATAGATAGATACTGAAAAGAACGGGATAGCTCGCTAGCTAGATAGGTAGATATTAGAGTTTCTTAACACCCTTCACCCTAACGTCTTATCTGTTTTCATTAACCTCAGGAGTATTTGCTTCTCTATTGCTTGCATGTTTATACGCATAAACGCTCATTATTCATTGTTTACTCTATCTTTCTTATTCTTTTCCTTTTTCTTGTCTTATGCTCTCTATTTCTCTGAATTTCCTGTGCCATATACTTTTAGGGCGTGGTCGATCATAGCTCTCCACAGGTTCCTGTATCTTGTTCACCCTGAATATTTTTGCCTTAATTATGCACTGTGACTTTAATTTACAAGCCTTCTTTTCCCAATATGAGTGCCAGAAATGTCATCCCTTTCTAATTGTTACCAACAGTTTTCTGTAGTTTCGATCCCTCAGCTTATAGTAGTGGTTAGCGAGGCTTGTCTTGTTACTCATTACAACTTGAGTATTGAGTTCAAGTCAATTCTGGGAGAATTAGAAGTACTACCAGGATTCATTATTGGCGGCCACAATCTTAACAGCATAAGATATGAAGATGACGCAGTGTTGATTGCAGACACCGAAAGGAAACTACAAAAGCTCCTACAGAAGGTATCGAGGGAAAGCGAGAAGAAAGGACTAAATGCAAAATACAAAAAGACAGAATGCATGATTATCAGCAAAAGGGCGAGCTCAAGATGGAAATTACAAATCGGGGATATTAAAATGAAATAAGTACAGGAATGTAAATTTCTGGAAAGTGTTCTAAAAGAGGACGGAAAGTGTGACACCGAGATCCGAAGACGTATTGCTATGTCCAAAGATGCATTCCAAAAGCTAAGCAGAGTATTAAGAGACAGAAAAATTTCTTTAGAAACAAAGAAAAATAAATTGAACTGTTACGTGGTATCTGTCAAAAGTTCGACACTGAGATCCGAAGACGTATTGCTATGGCCAAAGATGCATTCCAAAAGATAAGCAGAGTATTAAGAGACAGGAAAATTTCGTTAGAAACAAAGAAAAATAAATTGGACTGTTACGTGGTATCTGTCGAAAGTGCGACACTGAGATCCGAAGACGTATTGCTATGGCCAAAGATGCATTCCAAAAGATAAGCAGAGTATTAAGAGACAGGAAAATTTCTTTAGAAACAAAGAAAAATAAATTGGACTGTTACGTGGTATCTGTCGAAAGTGCGACACTGAGATCCGAAGACGTATTGCTATGGCCAAAGATGCATTCCAAAAGATAAGCAGAGTATTAAGAGACAGGAAAATTTCTTTAGAAACAAAGAAAAATAAATTGAACTGTTACGTGGTATCTGTCAAAAGTTCGACACTGAGATCCGAAGACGTATTGCTATGGCCAAAGATGCATTCCAAAAGCTAAGCAGAGTATTAAGAGACAGGAAAATTTCTTTAGAAATAAAAAAAAAAGACTGCTGAACTCTTAGGTGATATCTGTCCTCCTATATGGCAGGGAAAGCTGGACAATCTCCTCAAAGATGAAGAAGAGACTCGAAACAGCAGAAATGTGGTTCTGCAAAAGGATGCCGAAGGTACCATGGAACGAACATAGAAGCAACGATGAAGTTTTGGAGAGAATGGAAACTAAGAAGAAATACTTAACATTAGGAAAAGACAGTTGAAATTTCTGAGGTACGTAATGAGGAAGGAGGGCTTGGAAAATATGATACTCACAGGACAGAGTAAAGGAAAGACGAACAGAGGAAATCAGCGCGTAACATACTTGATGATCTTGAGTATATAAATGATAGAATAAGGCTTGCAAGAAATAACAAAAAAGACCAAACCTAATAAGAGTTAAAAGGGCCAAGAAAATGTGGAGGGCCATGATTGCTTACGTCCTGAAGGTATACAACATTTAAAAGAAAGACTGATTTCGATCCTCAATTGCTGTCCCATGCAATGTTTAACATTAAATAACCCAACAAGTGCTGCAATATGGTAAAATCAACCAAGCAACCAAATTTGTACAGGGTACAGCAGAGACACCACCCAGAAATACCATCCAGAAATAGCTCCCATAAATGCCTCCCACATAATCGTAAGACATTAGCTAGATAAAGGCACCATTGCCATTAATATTTTACGATTATCTGGGAGTTATTTCTGGGTGGTATATGTCGGAGGTATTTCTGGTGGGTATATGTCGGAGGTATTTCTGGGAGGTATATGTCGGAGGTATTTCTGGGGGTATATGTCGGAGGTATTTCTGGAAGGTATATGTCGGAGGTATTTCTGGGAGGTATATGTCGGAGGTAATTCTGGGAAGTATTTCTGGAAGGTATATATGGGAGGTATTTCTGGGAGGTATATGTGAGCGGTATTTTTGAGAAGTATATGTGGGAAGTATTTCTGGAAGGTATATTTGGAAGGTATTTCGGGGAGTTCTTTCTGGGAGGTATATGTGGGAGGTACTTCTGAGCGGTATATGTGGGATGTATTTCTGGAAGGTATATGTCGGGAGTATTTCTGGGAGGTATATATGGGAGGTATTTCTGCCGCATCCTACAGTTTTTGTTCTATTTTTCGCTTCTAACAAATGATATCCATGTTATTCGTAGTGTTCGTCAGTCGAACCAAATCTCTATAGGTTCAGTTTTCCTCTTTTCTCTTGCTTAGTTTCTGAAAGGCTTCTTTCCCTATTCCTGTACTACTTTGAATTTCTTTTCTATATATCCATCAATTTCTTCATTTACCTTTTGCCCTTTCCCTCCAGCACTGTCTTCACACATTAAACATCAGACACAAATTTTCATATATATTTATATACACATGTGTGTGAGTGTGTGTCTGTGTGTGTGTCTGTGAAAGAGAGAGAGAATGAACAGTATGGTAGATATTAAAATATTCTTTCTACGTGTTTCATGTAGAGTGTACGGCTTGACACAACACAGATGAAGAAAAAACTTGAGGCAAGAGAAATGGGTTCTACAGAAAGATGCTGAGAATACCGTGGACTGAACATGTGAGAAATGACGAAGTTTTAAGAGAAATGGAAACAAAATGAACACATTTCTTAAAATCAGAAACAAGAAAATTTCTAGGGCGCATAATGAGGCAAGAGGGCTTGGAAAATTTAACACTCATAGGACATATAGACGAGAAGTGGGTCAGAGGCAATCGGCGCATAACCTACGTAAAGAAACTGTATAAATGGTTTGCAGAACAGGGACTAGGAGAGACAACAAAATGATAGCATTTACGAAGATCTATATGACCGCTCACGTCCTGAAGGGACACGTCACATAGAAGCAGAAGAAGAAGAAGAAGAAGAAGAAGAATAGGCATTTTCTACTTTTCGGGCGAAACTTAGCTCGAGAATCATTCGCCATTTTTCCGCGTTTATCATTTTATTCGATACGTTTTCCCTCTTCGTTCTCCAAGCGATCTTCTCCACCTCCATAGCTCCAATTTTTTCCCCTGTCGTTCTTCGTTCACCCAGGAACAACTACTCTCTACTCTTCTCAAAATACAACAGTTAAAGCTACTGACTACATCATTATTTTCCCGATCGAAGCAGCGTTTGAAATCTGACAGTGATTATTGACTCGGCAGTAAAGACTCTTTTCAACGTATGGTAAAAGAAAAAACAAAAAAAAAATAATACGTTAAGTACATTGTGCAAATCCAGACTGACAGACACTCGTTCTTTACAAAACTGATACTGGTGATATTTATAACTTTGAATAGATTTTAAAAGACGTCATAAACCATTGCTTCTATTATTTCTACAAATTTCTTTTTCTAATGACATTTTTGTGTTATTACTATCGGCTCTTTTTTGAGTTCAAATGGAATCTGAACATATTATCATTTACCGATGGCAAAAGAGATCAGGATGGACATTTCAGGCTATTTTTCCTGAATATATATATATATATATATATATATATATATATATATATATATATATATATGTATGTATGTATATACACTCCTCCTCCCCCAATACTAAGTATGATTGAGAGAGATATTAAATTAAACCCTCCTAAACTCTACCATGTCTCTCTAACCACTCCTTATTACGCTCTCTGTTAAATTACAAAAACTTAGACTACCCATCCATTTTCATTTCATTTTTCGTTTCATTTTTTTTTTTTGGAAGTGCTATCTGATGATCCGGCGTCCTTTAAAAGGGCTCTGGTGAAATAAATTATTATAACGGAACCTTAAAGTGGTCTGTTTTTTTTAAAATATATATATATATATATATATATATATATATATATATATATATATATATATATGCAGAGTGCGGCGGATAAATTATCGTCTTAATTACGCAAAACTGAAAATAACACTGGCATTTCAGTATCTGTCTATTTTTTTCTGAGATGAGGTATTATGTACACTATTTACATTATTCTAACTATTGCCCTCATCTTTGTCGCCATGTTTATCACAACATTTCGGCCGCCGTACGCTCCGGTCTGAACCGTTTATTTCGCTCACTGGGGTAGACTATTCTAGTTCCACGTGCCATGGCACAGTGGATAAAGGCTGTAGTTAGATCCACTGACAGGGCCCAAAGAGTGTGCATTCAATAACTGGTTAAGGCGGTGGAGAACTTCGAGAGAGGAATTAACAGGAGATAACTGACATCCATTAGACATGGTACGAGGAAGTAGAACAGTCTACCCCAGTGAGCGAAATAAAGGGTTCAGTTCAACCTTCCAACCACCTGAAGAAGGCCGGAGCGTACAACGGTCGAAACGTTGTGATGAACATGGCGACAAAAACGAGGACAATAGTCCGAATAATGTAAATAGCGTAATGGCATTTCATATATAAATTTACCAAAATTACACAAAAATATCAGGAAATACTAAAGAGTAAATTTATTTTAAAAATCGCCATTAGCTTCAACCACGGCCTCCAGACGACTTCGGAATCTCCTGCAACTCTTTTGGAATGTCTACTTGTTTAAGTTGGTGAATGCTGCCATAATCCTTACTTTCAGTTCATCTTTGGTGTTGCAAGGAGTTTTCTTGGTCTCTCGT